GACGTCCACCGCTGGAAGCCAGTAAGGGGAAAAAGAATATGGTAAGTTAGTGTGCCTTCTGCAAAGTAGATGCATTTGGCATTATTAATATTTGAGGCAAGGAGATCCACTGTACACATTTCTAGTGCTCTTTTGTCCACTTCCGTGGTTGCCTTGTCTTGCGCGTGCTCCTTTGCAGCGCCATCCTCTTGTGCCAACACTACCACACACCAGCATGGCTCCATGCTAATGCTTCCTCGGTCACCTCAGCTTAGCCACATCCTTGACCACTTCATGGCCCTCATGACGTGTGAAGTTGCGGATGCCATTAGGCTGTGTTGCTTTTGTCATTACTATATTTTATATGTATATATATATATATTGCGGCAAGTTAAAAAAAAAAGTCCACACTGAAAACATCTTGTGCGGACATACAGGATTATGACTTTGCCTCTACTCATTATATTTTTTAAATTCATGCTAGCTCATTCTTTTGTTTCCTCAAGCATTCATTTTTTAAATTACATTTGTTTCTTCTAACCTTGCAATGAACCTTGCAGAAACTTCAAAAGCAGCACAACTGCATTCCAGATGAACACTATGTGCAGACATTATTGGCGGTAAGTAATAGACTTGTCCATCTAGGCTACTCTCCATCTTTATTCTTCTTGCGTGTTCGCAGGATTCTGCGACGCATCTTTTTTTCCTGGAACTCCATTCTTTTAGATAACACACACAAAGTAGTCATGTTCAATTGATATTCCAAGGAGTTCTCTTCGTGAATTGCTTGTGAGATTAAAGGTTCTAGTTTTTAATTGTTTTACAGATGCATGGTTTTGAAGGAGAACTTGAACGTAGAACGATAACCTATACAGAGTGGAATGAATCTGTGACAAATATGGAGAAGAAGGGTTGGCATCCTATTACATTTAGCTATTCGGATGCTGGGCCTGTACAGATCAAGAGAATAAAGGTAGTATAGGATGTGTATAATATTCTGTTTTCTCTTGCTTGGGCATTTGGCATTTTGGATTAGTTTCAACTTCTCTTTCTTCAACTTTCCTTTTTGGTTTTCCTTGTTGACTTTCACGTTGGTTTTCTTTTATCAGCTTTGCCTTTTGGTTCTTCTTTGACCTTCTCAGTTGGTTCTCTTGCTTCGACTTTGCTTTTCTTTTTTTTCCCTTCCCTGACTTCCTTAGTTGTTTTCTTTCTTAAAATTTTTTGTTAGTCATTTCTTCAACTTCACTAATTGTTTTTGTTTCTTTAACTCTAGTTATTATTGCATCAAGATATCTTGCCTACTAAACTGATTGCTTTCTTCCTTCCAATTTTTACAGGATATCAGCAATGTTTACTATGAAACTGAATACAGAACAGAGTGGTGTCGGGTTAATTCTACTCTGATCCCCTGTTTTTTGTTTGCGAGGAAATTCTCACGAGGGGCTGCAATGCGCCTCTTGAGTGAAGGAGTAGTTTCTCAGTTTGATGCCTCCTCCATAATGAACTCAACACCGTGATTTCATGAGCCTTTTTTTGGTAGTTTTTGACCTTCGCAGTATACTCGGTGAGGGGATTAGTTGCCCTTGATAGAATTACAACCTACGTGTGTTACAACACCTCTAGCTTACTGATCTAGGAAATATACAGGTGGAAGCTGATTGTATTATGGTTCATGTAAGACTTAGTACTGTAGATAAAAACACATTACTTGGTATCTGCCTAATATGCTAGGAATTCTTTTCTTTCTTTTTCATTCGGCTCATACTGCATTATATTTCGAATGGGAAAAGCAAGGGTTCATTTTTGTATGATTGTCTTGAGATAGAAAATACCTCCAGTTTCTTCCCAAAGATGCTTATAAGAAGTTTGTCCATTCTTTGTCAATTTCAACCGAGAGAACTGCTCTCATTGGTTAGATTGTAGTGTGCTCTAAGCTAAAAGGGACATGATCTCATCACTTAGGGCTGTCGATCATTTAAAATTCAGGCGCGATAACTATTGATTTTTTTTAATGATGGGCATCGGATTAGTTTGTCCAAACTTCTACTATTTACTTGGTACCTACTGCTGTCTGCTCTCTGTCAGTACAGGTTGATAAAATGAATGTTTTATCTTAATCGTAAAAGACTTTGTGTACAGTTTCAACCCGTTTTTGCTACAGAATGAATGAACGTATAGAGAAAGATATATTTCCTGAAGTGAATCCAAACCGATAAACCATGAACAGAAGGAGATGTTTCAGTTTCTTGCTTCTCCATAATTACTACTCATATAACAATGACTGGCTTTAACAAAGTGACTTCTATTGTTAGGGAAATTAAGACCAATACATTTGGATGAATATTATCAATAAGAAAGTGGTGAAATGCCACTACACTTGCTTTATATCTAGACACTAATAAGACTTAAACAAGGTCTTGTTTCCATCCTTGATGGCGTGCTCTGAGTTCCCACATAGCAGTAATTTGTCTCTGTGCTTCTAAAGCAATTTCAGCCTTTTCTCTAGCCTCTTCACAAGTTCCCATCCCTGAAGTGCATTTATCTGCCTCCTTTTGATATTGAGACACCATCTTTTTTGCCTCCAGCAGTGCCATGTCTGCTCTTCTCTGATTTTCCGTTGTTTCATTCTCCATTTGCTTTAATTCCTCTGTCAACGACGCCGTGAAGTTTCTTTCCTCATCCTCGCTCACCCCCAGATCATGTTCCATGCAATCTATGAAACAATGGAGAAAAAGAAAAGCTATCATTCAGGAAAAGGTGTTTATAATAATAAGTAGCAAAGGTTGAGAAAACTGACCTGTAAAAGAAGTCACATTCACACCTGAGAAAGAAATAAAGAGTGATCCTTATCAAACATACTATTGAAGCATCTCAACACCAAGGGAGTAACTGCGAGCTATTTATATTTACTTAATGATTCCGTAGCTTATGAATAATAGGTCAATTCCAAGACAAATGTTTTGTCTCATATGTGAATCAAATTTTTGAAGTCAGTGGATTTACATTGCATGCGGTACTTTACCATAAATTAACATACATACATACTATCACAATGAAATTACGACTTTACTAGCCTAATCATTCCACTTTTTGTTCTCAAATATCCTAAGATCAAAAATTTAAATTCGGTGAGTTCGAAAATTTATTATAAACATGCATGTGATTTATTAGAGGATGTTTACAAGATGAGAGGAAATTGGGTAGTTACCTTGTTGAAAAGAGAGAAGGGGCCAAGTAGCACAATCACAAGGACAAGAGGGGCAAGAATAATGGGCAGAGGAAGAAATAGTTTCAGAGAGATGCCAATAGAGTGGTGGACCTGCTACATAACCAGTAATGCACAATCCCATAATTAACACCACAAACATCACCATCTTCCCATTCCACCTGCTTCTTCCATGTTTATGTTGTGGATTCATTTCCCTCTTAATTATCTCTTTTCTTCTCTTTCTTGAACTGTTATGTCTATGTTAAAGAGCTTTTTAAGGATCTATAATGTAACTGTGACTGAGCTACTCTTGAAGTTTTCTTTTTTGATATCTAATCTTTAGGACTTGGTTGTTTTTTGTTATCTATGCGAGACTTGGTGCATGGATTTTGGGAGATGTTAAAACTGGACAACTCTATACGTGGTAAATGTTAGAATTAGGAAAATGAAAAGTGTTGTTTTTTCTAGATTTTAGATGACATTACCATCGTATAATTAGGCGTACAAAAAAACACTTACAATTATGTAAACAATATAATACGTTCTACGTACAAACCTTTTTATATTAACCTGATTTTTTAAAATAAAAATTGCCTGTGTTATGTTGTAGGAGCGAAACATCCCATAGTTTAATAGCTTTTGATTGACAAAATTATGAATCTAATCGGATTAAACATTTGCATCAAAGGTTAAGAAAAGTGAGGAAATGAAGTAAAAAGGAAGAAAAACGTGAAAACAAAAAGATTTTGTAATATATACACCCAAACCCCCACCCCAAAAATGGTCTCGTATAAATGCAAAGGAATATATGCCTATGTTGACCGTTACTCTCGTTTCTAGACGTGGATCAATTTGTTTGCAGGGTAAAAGTGATTTTGTGTGTGTATATAACATGATTTTATGTTTGTCTGCAAATGAAATATCTTTTTTCGAAATTGTTGGGTGTGCGAACAAAGTCCACACTGATAGCCGAAATGATTGAAAATCTACATATAAGGTGTAAAGATCCCTTAATGGTGTGAGACCTTTTGGGGAAAACCGTGCGGGCATGGCCCAAAGCGGACAATATCACACTATGTTAAAAGTGTTTTTGTAGCCCAACAGAAATATTATATAGGTCCCGCGCATCTCTAATAGAAGACAATATCACACTATGTTAAGAGTGTCTTTGTACTTTGTAGCCCAACAGAAATATTATATAGGTCCCGCGCGTCTCTCATGGAAGCAAGCAACTATGGTTTATCTACAATATTACAACGTGATATTAGATCTTGAACATAACCTCAGTACCAAGAATCAAAGGAGTAAAAGCAAAAAAGGAAACATTATCAAATTCACTAATTCAGTTCATTAGACCTTGCAAGTACGTTTTTGCATCCATTGCCGTACATATAGATACTCCCAGTTTCAGTTTATATGAATCTATTTTCTTTTTGGTCAGTTCCAAAAAGAATGACCGCTTTCTAACTTTGGTAATAATTTAGCTTAAACTTACAATTCTACCCTTAATGAGAAACTTTAATAACCACACAAATATTTTGGCCCCCTTTTTGACTTGTTTAGGACTACAAATTCTAAAAGTCTTCATTTTTCCTTAAACTACGTGTCCAATCAAACATGTTCACATAAATTGGAACGGAGGGATATTAGCTGTCATGAAATATATCATATAACAAACTAATATTAGCTGTCATGAAATCAGAATTATTTGCGAAATTATTCATTCTTGTAGTATCTGCACGACTAAAAATAGATAATATTGATGTCATCGAATGAAATTTTCTATGGAAAATAATCAGGGAAGTTCCTCAAATTTATGCAGACCTTGCAATTCATAATATTGAATAAATTCAAGGTGATATGCCAGTTGGTGCTTTGAAGTTTCCCAAGTGGTCCTTCGTACAGAGTAAATAAGAACTTTCCTGTTGTAAAGAAAAAAAATTGTGCCTAATTTAACTTCAAAAACTCGTTCATGAGGTAATGATTGCCCAAGACCTGTCCACTGTCACATGTTTGATCAGTTCTCAACTTCATGGACACATATTGCGGTCTATAGTTGACTGTGAACAACTGAATGATTGATTTGCAGTTGGCAGTTGTAAACACTTTCTGGAATTCTGGCTCGCACTCAAATTAAACTGATATTCCTTGTTCAATTCCTAATAATACAATAGTATTCTGAGCAAACTGACATTTATAGTACAATAGTATCCTGAGCAAATTGACATTTACTCTCAGATATCTCCTCATGATTTCCTCTCTGGGTTTCACGAAGCCTTTGACATCAGTGATCCCCATTGGGAAAAACAGCACGGAGAAGATGCCGTACATAAGCGTCTACGGCATATTCTCTATGTTTGACATGATTACCCTTTCACTAATCTCCTCACTCAGATTCTTGAGGACCAACATTATCTCCTCCTGCTGAGGATGAGAGGTTTGGCCCATGAAAAAGGTTGTTATTATTCCATGTAAGTCGATAAAACTCCAACCAGGAAGTTTTTTGAGCCCAAGATCCCTCATTTGGACCCATGCCTTACCAACGCCCTCCCACTGGGCCATTGAAGCGTAACTATGAGCCAATTGCACATACCTTCCAGCATCACCATGATCTAACATTGAAATTTCTTTGCAAACAATATCCCTAAGTTCTACAAGGGCTTTCGTTTTGCAAGCATCAAGAACTATACCAAGTGCGTCAGCCATTGGTTCCGGAAATTTTGTCTTATAGAAGTTGTATGCATCTTTTACCCTACCAGCTCGACAAAGTAGATCAACTATGCAAGCACAGTGTTCGAGTTCAGGTGCAATCTTAAAATCCCTTTCCATGGAATCAAACAAGCTCATACCCTGGTCGACAAGTCCATTATGACTACAGGCAGAGAGAACAGATAAGAAAATAACACTATTTGGTGTAAGACCACTTTGCACAAGCTCCGAATACAACTCCAGGGCAGTTTCCCCTTTGCCATGATTGCCATATCCGGCAATAATTGTGCTCCATGAAATGAGATCATGTTCTACGATCCTGTCAAAACACTTCCTCGCACTGTCCAAGTCACCACACTTGCAGTACATATCAACCAAACCCGTGCCTATCTTGACGCAAGGTTCAAAATAGCCCCTTACAACAAGATTATGAATCCACTTCCCTTGCTGATATGCTCCTACAGAGGCACAAATTTGAAGAAGAGAAACCACTGTAATTGAGTCAGGTCTTTGATGGGCTATCCTCATTTCATTAAACAGATGCAAGGCCATTGCTAAATGCCCATTCTGAGCATTCCCTGCAACAATTGCATTCCAGGAAACCACATCTCTGCCTTTTATCATATCGAAAACAGCAAGCGCTTGCTTCAAATAGCCACACTTTGAATACATGGTGACAAGTGAATTTTGGGCAGGAGTCTCTATGGCAATTCTTTGCCTCAACATGTAGCCATGTATAGAAGTTCCTACTTTCAATGAACCTAATTGAGCACAAGCTGCAAGGGCACTTGCTATAGTAGTTGTAGACGGTTCAATTCTACTACACAACATGCCTTGAAACACTTGAAGTGCTCTATCTGCACGTTCATTCTGAACAAGTCCTGAGATAATAGTCGTCCACAAAACTACATCTTTCTCCTTTGCTCGCTCAAAAATCTTAAACGTGTAATCCATGTTCCTACACTTTAAATACATAAACATAAGTGATGTCTCAAGATGCACATCTAGTTCAAATCCAGCAGCAACTATCTGTCCATGCACCACTTTTCCCAATTCGGCACAACCCTCTTTTGCAATTGCAGAAACCAAGGACCCATATGTTTGATAATCAGGCCATGTATTTTCCAATCTCATTCTATACGTTAGCCTCAATAATTCTTCTGTATCCCCCACTAAAGAATACCCTGAAGCCAAAGAATTCCAGGAAACAATATCTTTTTCATCCATCCACTCAAATAACTTCCTAGCATACTCAATTCTTCCACATTTGCCATACACATTCAACATAGAATTCAACAAAACAGTGTTACCCATAAATCCATACTTTACTACAGAAGCATGCAAACACTCCACATGAATGCTCTCTGATATCCCAGAAAGCATAGTCAACATGGTAACAGAAGTGGGCTTTACTCCATCATGTACCATAGAATTGTACATAACAAAAGCATGCTCAAAATCACCACTCCGTACATAACACCCTATAACAGCCGTCCAAGGGACAATGTTCCTGTCAGGCATTATATCAAACGCTTTGTGTGCACGCTCTGGAAGCCCAAAAGAGGAGTAAAAACTGATCAAAGAAGACCCAATATAAGGATCAGACGAGAATCCATTAACGACTACGTGTTGGTGTAGCAAAAGGCCGTGAGGGAAGAGGTTGAGGGAAATGCAGGCTTTGAGGAGAGTGGGAAAAGTGAAAGGGTCTGGAGGAACAGAGGATTTGAGCATGGAGTTGTATGTGAGTAAAGCATGATGGTGGGCACCTTCCGAGGAAAGGCGGTGGAGGGTGGCATTGAAGGACTTGGTGGTGGTGGTGGTGGTGGCGGCAGCGGCGGAGGAGCGCCGACATGGCGCCTGTGTTAAAGCGCGGAAGAGGATGTTGAGTTTCAGCTTGTGCATTATTCATGGTCACTTTTTTCCTGGATGAGTACGCTCAATGTCACGGACAGCTCTGCGCAGCTAAAATCCTGTTCATTCACCTTCCAACAAATGTTGCTACTTCCCAACTCTTTTGGAAGGTTTTTCAATTTTCAATTACGATAAAAATCATTGCCACCAAAGTTTGACACATATATCAAAATGGTTCCAATTAGTATTCTCGTACATAGTACTGATATTCCTACAGCTGATAATGCAAGAAATTGTATAACGGCTGTACTAACACTCATTATAATTGCAAGAAAGCATCTTTACCTTTACATCAACGTTTAGTATTATGCAAGTAAATGATGTCTGCTAGCATGAAAATTGATGTCGTAAGACCAAACGATATAGTCTAGCATTTGTCTGCACAAGTTATGACTGTTAGCTGCCATACGTAGTTTAGCTGTTTTTTTCCAACAAGAAGATCCAAGGGCAAGGCCATGAGAATGTATTCTACAAAGATATCATCAATCAGTACTTTTGGACTAGAATATATCAAGTTCCATCACATTATTAAGAACATCTAGATCACAGCACAAGACAATGCCAGCGGCCATAATAAATATTACAAAAATGCTATGGGCCACATAGCCAATGAGGTTCATCGTTGCATGGTGCAGAATACAAGCTGCTCAGATGACGTAGTGTAAACGCTCCAGATTTCGCCATAAAGCAGCAACAGTTTAAGGTACAAGTTTGCCTCGGTTTCTTTCACTAAAATGGATTCATCAACCTAGTTTGTTTGCTTCTTTGGATACTCTCTTGCTCCAAATATTGTAGATCCAACTCGAACATTTGTACTGCCCATCTCGACCTGTAGCAATAAACTAAGCATTATCAGTATGGTGTGCTCAAACATATCTTAACATGAGGTCAGAATGGAGCATATGTATAATTCAACACCAATGCCGGCTAATTAATAACGTTAACAACAATCTAACTACTATTAGCCCCCAAAAAAATAGCAGAGGAAACCAATAAAGAATAGAGAAATATCAAAAGAAAAATTCAGACTAAACTTGAGTTGCAGCAAACGGTGAAGGGGTGAAACTACTATGCTAGTCTGCAAAAGAGCCTTAATCGCATGGGTGTGCCCGGGAGATGGGCGAGTTGATGGCCCAGATATTGGGATTTACAAATCAGACTCAAAAGCCTTCTAATAACAGAGACCATTAACGAAAACTGAGTCAGATGTCTAATTAATCATACTTGGTTTACTTTATAAAGAGAATATTGTATTCATGGTCCAATCAGACTACCACATTGATCCCTAGAAAGAGGAGAATTGTGGTATTCAAGTTCTTTCTAAGCCTACTTATTGTTTTGATATGCTTAGTGACAAGTCAGGTGACTCACAGCTAGTTCAAAGTCGCCCGACATGCCCATTGACAGCTCACATTGATCTTCAGATATTTCAAGAGCCTTGCAAACCTCACTTCTACATCTTGCTAAAGTCTGAAACCAAAGCACGATGAATATCAGGATATTAGAGTTGAGGATATAATAATAGCAACCAGGACAAGAAGAAACAACTATAAAACGCCAACCTTAAAGTTCTCAGGCGTTGACGTATAATCTGGCATCCCAATAGTCATCAGCCCACAAAATTCAAGATTAGGGCAGTTTGAAGTAACATGTTTGACGAGTTCCAAGCACCCATCTGGTTCGACACCAGATTTAGCTGCAACAGAACCAAATCACAGTTACTTTTTCCTTCTTGAATATGAGCAGAACCTTCACAAAATTGGAGGAACCAAATGACTTTAATAAACCAGAGACATACTCCAGTTACCCACTTTCTTCCCCACTCGTATTAACTTGGATAAAAACTTTCAACGGCTTTCTTCCAATGTTCCCAGCCACACGGTTGAGCTGATTTGCAATCTATAGAATGCAGAAAAAAAATATAAACTATGTCAGCCAAAGGAAGTTTGTCCTAGCTCACAATATTGAATGTCCGCCAATGTGTTCATAGGCACAGTTATATTGCTACTGGAGTTGAAACTGGTCCAAATGGAGTGAAATGAATATGGAAGATCATATAGTTAATCCAACTAGTTTGGGTTTGAGGCGTAATTGTTATCGCTGACATTGTGTTATAAAAGAATATAAGTTTATACTAGTTTGAATTGTTGGAAGGAGAATAGTTTTTCATTTTATGAGGTGAAATTTCTACAGAAGGACCAAAAGGGAAAGAAGATCATTTTATGGCCACAAGAAGGGTATTCTACAAAAGTTGTTCTACCTTCTTTTTTCTGAATAAGGTAAAATTAATTTTAAAAAAATTGTTCTATCATGCCTTTGGTCTAACATAATCTGATTTTTTTAATATGGAGCTACTTTTGTAACTAGCACAAATCTCGAGCAGGGGTGTCAATGATTCGGCTCGACCGGTTATTTTATAAAATTTGTACCATACCAATTTTTCGGTTACTTGTATAACCAAAATTAGACGTTTCGAAACCATGCCAATCATATCGGTTTTTCTTCGGTATCGATACGATTCTGTTAATTTTCGGTATTCTTTTTAAAATGTCAAGTAAGAGTCGCTAATAGAAGTTAGAACGCGATATTACGCACTTGCTTAGGACTTCGACAAAATTCTCTGGATATTTTATTATTTAAAAGACATGAATCAAGAGATTATGAAAGATAGCCAGAACAGAAATTCATCCCACTATTCTACTACATTATAAGAGATTAAGCAAAGATAAAAGAAATATAGATCACACGAGTGGGAATATATTAGTCAAGATGGGACTCAATAATAGAGTCTATTAGAAGATTAAGTATCCAGTAAGAAAAATCCAAATCATACAAGAGGAAAGATATTCAATACCTTATGGCTTGATACTCAAAATCGTTGGAATACCTTGCGACTTGCTGCTCAAGATGCTAGCTAGAACTAATTTATTTTTAGTAGGAGTAGCATAATAGGTTTGGAAGTTGAGACTTTGGGTTTTAGTTACTCATTGGCTTGTAAATGTTTTCATAATCACAAGGCCCGAGCAAAAAATCAATATTTTGTTATTTTTAAACTTAATGTATAAATTATTTTTTCTTATATAAAATTATTCGGTATGGTTTGGTATTTTTCCAGTTTATTTTTGTGAAATTAAAAATCTACCCTAATTATCGGTACTGTTATAGATTATATAAAAACCTGCGATTTTATTTAAAAAAGCCTAATAATCGGTTCGATACGGTTAAGTTTAGTCGATTTTTAAAGATCCATTGACATCCCTAGTAGCATCTAATTGGTTAACATACGCAAAGGTTTAAAGGGAGGATACTACATTCTCAAGTCATCAATCGACATTACATCCTTCAGAATTACTCATTAATTCATGAATTGGAAGACTTTCACATCTTACAAAATCAAAATTTTCATATAACAAGTCCTAGTATCCTAATTCAAGAACATCAAAGGAGTCCATCAGTGGCATGTTTAAGAAAGCAATTATGAAGAGACGAATCAAAGGATTAAAAATTCTCCAATATTAATTGGGACAGTCCAGAAGGAAGTATGCCAGCCTTCAGAGCTTTGCAACCATTACAATCTGATATTCAATAGGCATTGAGGTTAAAACGCATTCTTCGTAAAGTTGGTTATATTACATCAAGATAATTTGGTGAACCCTGGACCCAAAACTCCTCCCACCTTTGGCAACAAGCATTGTTCACATGCAGATTACACATATTTGTAGGGCATCTCCTTGTCCATCAAGGAGTGCGGATAAAATGTTTATCGAGATGAAAAATGTAGGAGATAAAACGAAGAAAGAATGAACCTAGTCCTTCACCGATGCGGAAAGAAAGAATAGACGGGAACATAGGCTGGGCTTCTTATCATCGAAATTTTTTTCACTTTTTTTCGGAATTAATGTTTGGCCACGAAAGTTCCAATTTCCCTTGAAGTTAAATTTCGGAAATTTTTCAGAATTTGAAAAAACTCCAAAAAGTTATTTTTCAAAATTTTCACTTCAAAGCACTCACAAAAATTCAAAAATAGCTCCAAATTGTATTCATGTCCAAACACAACTCTAATTTTGAAATGCCATTTTCAACTTGAAAACAAATTTCACTTTCTTTCGGAATTTCACAATTCTTATGCCCAAACGCCCACTTAGTATTTTCAAAGGCAAAATGCGCAAAAAATGACAAGGTTCGTAGGGCTTGCAGCGAAAAGCGAGAAATGAACGTGCAATTGACAAGACATTAAAAATATCAAATATCTAAGAAATTAGTACAATAAAATTAACAATTAAAATAGCTAATTTTTACGTCTAATATACAATAATGTAGATATTAAACCAACTCCACAAAGTTGAGATTCAAAGAAGCAATCAATTCTCCTTAAATTCACTTTTCGTACCACTCTTTGAAGTGAACACTTCTCTAAAGCGCATAGCTTCACTGTGAATTGATAACACCTTGCTTTGGCATTGCTTCATCGCTTTAAAAAGCAAAGCGATGGCTTTTAATAACACTGGTTAATTATATTTTTTCCTCTGCTAGCTCATACTAGATGTGAACAACTTTAGATAGCTTTTCAGGCATGGACAGAAAACTTTGGACTCCATACATATTTAATAACAACTCCACAAGTTCCCGTAATTTAAATTCACTTAAAATCCCAATTTTCATCTTGCTAAAACTGGTTTTATTTCCTTCTTACTAGCACTGGTATAATATGAGTAAGATAGCTTCTAGCTCTTATGTTCAATCAAACTGCATAACATAATTTTTCGAGCTGGGAGTATTAGTTACCCTGTAGACTATTTAGAGGAGATAAACTAGTAGTGGAGTATGTGTGAAAAGTTAATTACCTTTTCATCATCTACAGTCTCCACCATAGCAAGATTTGGTACTCCGGCTGAAAAAAACAAAGATGAGGAGATTGATTATAAGCTCTATACCAGTTGCACAAAAGAATGGCTCAAACTCTTCATTATCGTTATTATGTCACGCATGCTAAATCAGAAAGGAGATAGAAACTTATTGTCCACTTGTCTGACTGACATAAGTGAAGGCAAAATGTTCACTTGTCTAACTGAAGCAAGTGTAGGCAAAATGTTTCACGACCTCTAATGTTTTGAAATATTTGCAGTACTTAACGTAACCAAAATTTGATGAAGCAAGCATGTTACTATTCACCGAGATAAAGTTTACAACTCTTGAAGCAACCCTGCCCTCCAACAGCATGCCAAAAGAAAGGATATCTTACCCTTATTTCTCTTACAAAACTTGTCCAGTAATCACAATTTTGTATGATTTCCTCCTTCATCCTCAACATAT